ACTTTAAATCTGATAAACAACAAAGTGAAATTCAAGAGTATTAGGACTGGGCAGCCTGCCAGTCTTAGCTCCTCCACAGACGTTTTTATTCGGCTGATGTAGGAGAGAGGGGGCTGGCTGGTCGAGTCCAGCGTGCAGCGCTAATGGGACGTTGCTTTTCAAGACAGCTGTAAATGTGAATATGTGGCTACTGTGAGTCAGTTTCACACGGACCAAAAAAGAAATCACAGAAATGCTCAAAACTAATTGCTGTTCAAAATTATTCACAATATCACGCTTATAACCACGTAACAATCCCTGAGGTACAAACGCGCACTAACAAGGTCAACCTTGTATGAACATCCCATTGCACTTAAATTCTGTTTAGAGTTAAAGAGCTTAGGTAAAGCAACAATGTTTTTTGTAAGAAGGCAGCAGCTGCGTTACCTAAGCTGGAAGAAATTTGAATGTGTGCTAAGCAGACAGACAAACACACATAGGGTCCTCTGTTTCACACTGCTAATCTAGGCCTTTGGTTTGAGGCACAATGTGTTACTTTCAAGTGCACTGTGACTAAAGTTAGTGGGCAGACAGCGCTGCCTGTGGCAAAACACAGAAATACCCTGCATCTCCCAGTGTGTGTGTGTGTGTGCGCGCATGTTCATAATTTAAAGTAAAACCCTCTAAGCTTCATTGTCTCGCGCCCAGGTGCAGTCCAAAATCATTAGCATATTTCACAGGATTTTGCTAGAGGTTTCCAAGGGACATTACCTCTTTAGAGTGCACAATGTACTGCTACATGATTCCCAATAGACCAAAAATACCTTTACACATTAAAACAAATGTTAAAAATCCCTCAGCTTACAAACACTCGAATAACATCACTGAATAGTGAAATGCATGGTCCTAAGGCTGTGTGACACCTTTCAAAAGAGCAGACAGTTAATAATACATAAACTTTACTGAAGAACAATGCTTTTTTCGTCTTGGTCGTGGAACACTCGCCTGCTCTTTAACCTCTTAAGTATACTTAAGGGTGTGTGGGAATTTGCCAAGCAACTCTACAAGTATTTTGTAGACTTGAAAGCATTTAACTATATCCCTCGGGGTGTCCTCTGGTGGATTTCTCTGAAGTATGAAGTATCATGCCCATTGTTACAATCGCTCACAGTCAGAGCCTGGTCTGCATTGCCGGCAACAAGTCAAACTTGTTTATGGCAGAGTTTCTAGACGCAACCAAAATTCCTAGGATGCACTTTTTTGGTGGCCTTAGACTCACGTTTGCTTTTTACAGATGATTTGGTAATCAGTCGGGTTGATCTACTACATTCCCACCCTCACCTTTGCCCACCAATGGCATGTAGTAACCAAATAAATTAGACTGCAGATACAAGCAGCAGAAACAAGCTTCCTGTGAAGTGGTCTGGGCTCTCCCTTTAGAGGTAGGATGAGGAGCTCAGTCATCCAGGAGGGACTTAGAGTAGGGCCACTGCTCCTTTGCATTGAAAGAAGCCTGTTGAGGTGGTTTGGGCATTCGGCCAGGATGCCTCTGGGTGCCTCCTAGGCGAGGTGTTTTGGGTATATCTAACCAAGAGGAGAATCTGGAGCAGACCCATGAAACGCCTGGGAGATTATGTCTCTCAGCCAGAATTGGAACATTTTAATGTCCCCCCAGAAGAGCTGGAGGCAGTGGCCAGGGAGAGAAAGATCTGGACATCTCTGCTCAGACTGCTCCCCTCAGAATCCGTACCCAGTAAGTCGTAGAAAATGGATGGACTGACCTATAATATACAGTCATTTATGGAAACCTGTTTCTTCAGTAGAACTGTTTCAGTGTTTTAAAAAATGGATTAACAACCAGAATGTGTTATCTACATTTAGGGTGCTTTTTGTGTAACAGGAATTTTGCTTTTATAAAGAAGGCATGAAAAAGATTGCTCACCACAGCCCCATAAAAAACTGCTTTTTAAACGGCCAATTACATTATATATCTATATATAAAATCTGAGGACATAAAGTAATTCTACAATAATGTGCAAAAATCTTGAGCCACTCATCATTTCTTTATATTTTTATAGGAAAATTGGAAAAATATACAGTGATTTATTGAGATTTATTGAAAACCTGAACTCTTGTAGGCAATCCTTGACTGATATTGTTCCATTTATAAAGATGGATGGAGGATCCCCAACACCACAGACTAAATAACCACAGCCCCACCCCACAACAGACCCTCCACCGTGTTTTACAGATGATGCACATCCTCACTGTTGTACCTCTGTCTCCTGACCTCCTCTGTTCATATTGACGACAATTTGAACCAAAGATTTCGGATTTATGCCTCAGCCATTTCTTCCCGTTTCTTTACTTTACAAATGGCTTCTTAAAAGCCATTCTCCCACTAAGACAATTTTTGATGAGTCTTCAGCAAACAGTAGATGGATCAACTGAAGTGCCAACTGCTTTTTTCTTAAGCACAAGACTTTGAAATATTGTTCACATGCTGTAGAAAATGTTTTAGGCCTGCCACATCTTCTTTTTACATCCATTTGTCCAGTTTCCTGATATTTTTTAAGGACATAGTACACATGATGCCAAGACATGACAAGTTTTCAGCAAATAAGGAATTATCCCGTTGGTCACATTGTGCAAAAATACAAATTTAAGCCTGTCCAACTATGTTTTGCCATTTTTCTTTAGATTGAACTAAAGAAATGTGTTTATGTGACAGGCTGCTAGTAACAAAGTAAGTGTTAAGTGGCTTAACAAACAAACAAAAAAATCCTCTGAGAATTAGGTACAGGGACTGCACGGAAAAGGAGTGAAAAAGCAGCCAATGTCAAAAAGCCTGAAGAACAGTTTTTTTTTAAATACAAGATAAATCTGTCTCCTTGGAAGAAAAATATAAAGTAATGAAGGGTGGCTCAAGACTTTTGCGCAGTGCTCTACATTGAGATTGTGAAATAAAACACTTTGCCACTCGTGACACCTTGAAACACCCTAAGGGACCTGGACTTGTCTAGCCAAGTCCCCAGTTAGAGAATCACCTCCACAGCCTCTGTATTATGAGCTGTCTCCCATTTCTCATAACAGACAAATGTACACACGCTGGGAAGGATGCCAAAGGGCGTTTGGACAGAGATGTTTAAAGCTCCTGCCTCACATACTAATGAGAATCCATTACTGTCTCATTCAAATAGTCTCAAACACACACACACATACGCATACACAATCAGCACATTCTCATTCAGTGCATAAGCATCTGGCTACAGACACCCCCTTGTCCCCTATGCTTCAGTGCCTGCCAATTACAAAAGAAGTAATCAATTCCACCACGGCTCCGTCCCGGGAAATCGACTTCAATGACACCAGCTACATGGCCGCTGTCTCTGTACCTGACAGCCACTTACACACAAGCAGGGACCCAGTCAACCAGCCTTCTGTTGCTCTTCAGTGCAAGGCCAAGCAAGATAAACCAGATCCCCCTTCCCAACTGGAAGCATTAGCTCTAAATACTGTACCATATTTCATGGTCATCATGAATGACAATTTAGTATGTCTAAAGAAGTGTTTTACCCATTGGAATCTGACAAAAAGGACATTTTCACCTGCACACACGCTTATTGCTTTGCAACTGAAGGCCGGCCGTTTGCAGGCAACCCAGGGTCTGGTTGCCTAGGTAACCCTCTAATGTATTTACTGCCAGATCATAAGTCAAACAGCAAAATTCTTCATTCGCATTGTTACGACTTGTTTCAATTGCTTGCCTGGAATTACTGGCCCATTTCCCGTCACCAGCAGTTATTTAGTGGAATGTCGTTTACTTTCTATGGTGTCTCGTTGTGGCATCGTTTCATGCATGGGCACGGTTTTAATATTAGTTTTCATGTGCTACATGTCCATGTCCTCTACAAAGTGTTCACGATTTACCTTAGAAGCATCTCAAGAACAAATGAAGAAACACAGGATAAACCTGTAAATGTATTTTTTATACAAATCCTATAAAGTTTGTTGTTGACAGGACAAACAGCATACAGCTTTTTTCTGCTAGCTCAAGGTCCCAAAAGCTTAAAACTCACAGTAAGTGCAGTAAATAAGCATGAACGTATCATCAATGGTCAGGTATTGGAAAAACTGGAAACATTTGAACATACAGTATCATTACACAGTGTAATGGTGTAGCTAACCCAAAGTGTTTTTAATAGCTTTGGACAAATGTGGCACTACCACACACGTTCTGGATCCAAAAACAAGTAAAATGACTACATTGTTTTAGTTTTTAAGAAGATTTTTTTAAAATAAAAAATATTAAAAAACTGTACATTTATAAAGGAAAACATAAGTAGCTCTAGTATGCTCCAAATATTACAGCCAGCATCTAAAACCGGATTTTGCAAGCGTACCAATCTTGGAACACCTCTTTAATAAAACAGCAACTGACACACCTTACGAGGTGGTAAAATCTCAAGGCTATTTCGTACAGTCTTCTTAGTCACGGCACTATAGTGGAATTTACGGTGATGTGAAGGTCAGCCGAATCAATTTCTCAACATGGGATTTAAAAAGAGAACCCTGTAAGCTGTTGTCGATGAAGTGATATATCTCTACTATTATTTGTCTCTTCCCATTTTCATCACCACCTCTGTGTTTCCCATCTTCTTCCACCTCCTGATTCTTTTTTCCTATTTTATTTAGAAAAAAAAAGCTGGTACAGCCAATGATTTAGCACTTTTTATCATTATCTTCACATCCTTTTGCATCATTTTCCTCCTCATGTTCGTTACAGTGGATCTACAACACTCCTGACACTGTATGTATGTGCGGTTGTGTGTGTTCAGGTTTACCTGCAACTGTGAAATCATGTGTGTATGTTTGGTAAAGACTGGAAAAAAGCCTACGGGGCAGACTACAGCAGCTCTTTCCTTTATCTTCAAACAGCGGCTTGTTAAAACAACAACATTTGTGCGTGCGCATGCGTGTGTCTGCCTGCGTGTGCATGCGTTTAATGTTTGCAATGTTACCTTTGGCCTCTTTGTAGTGTTCACAGATCCTTCTGACAGCTGCAAGACCCTCCTGCTCATCTCTCCCACCTCAAAGAGAAGGAAACACACACAAACACACACAAATGAATACAATATATGACGAGACCTTGGAGGCTTTTTATAAAAAAAATACAGGTTTCCTTTTTTTTGTCAGTCTTTCATCTTATAAAAACACATTTCCAAGAAAGGTTCTTCGAATGAAAGAACACTCAGTGCAAAAATTTAGCCCTTCAGAAATTAGGAATATTAACAAGGCTTCTGATTCAATACATCTACTTTTTCAGTAAAGACTTTAAATGCAAGCCTGTAAAGAAAGTATAATATTATTAAAAGCATGAGTTATTATGAAAGTACCATCTAACTTCAAACAAGCTATATGAGGACACTTCACCAAAGAGATTTTAGCCAAAGAAAAATTACCTTAAAAAATGTGATTTTTCTTTGCAAGCATTAAAAGATTTTAGCCAAAGTCAAACAGCAACATTCTGAATATGAAATCAGTCAAAAGATACTTTTTTGCACCATCACTGGATCCAGGCAGCATAGCCAGACAGGAAAGTGGGGAGCACACTTTTATAATAATAAGTATTTTGATCCCAAAAATATCAGAAGAAATATCAGAGTGCCGCATATTTTAAAAAGCTATTTGGTAGAAGAAAAATAAATGGGTAAAATATGGTGCTTAAGGAATTTATTAGACCACAATCCAATATAATGTTTATACCACAGCTGCCCCAAAGTTTCTACAACGTTTCTGCAATGATTTATCAACCAGGATGCACAAGCTCCTCATTCTTGTTATTCAGGAATTTTCCAATTCAGTGTTTTACAAAAAATAGCAGAAAATACAGTGATGCATATTATTAATTTTTGCTTAAGATGCCAAATTACAGTAATTTACTTGCATTCCTGAACACCAAAATTAGTTTTAGTATATGAATGTTATGCTTGACTAATTTCTGACTTGTCAGAGAATTCCAGTCTGCCTCAAATTTAAGCAAAAAATGAAAACTGGGTTTGTTATTTGCCTGATAAACAATCACGTCATTTTGTGTTCTGAATATTTCTTTCTTTGAAAAAATTTGTGTTTTCTTGTTCTATGACAGCTGGTCTAATAAATTTGTTAAGCATCCTACCTGTTTTATTGTACTTGGTGGGGGAAAATGAGATTCATACAGTGCTCAGTGACAACTGAAAATGGCATGTAATACCATCTACAACATCAGATCTGAGTTATAAACTCATAAACACAAGACCTTTAAACACACTGATCCACAGCTCTCTATTTTGGTTCCATATTGAATGCACTGTTCAGATTAATTTACATGCTCCAGCAGCACAAGACAAAATATGCAGAGAGCTACATATCATGTGCTGCCTTCTAAGATCATTGTAATAAATATATTATCCCCATATGAACAATATCATTTTAATACACCAGTTCTCACAGTGAAAAAGTCCATGATATGCTCCTATCATAGCAGTCTTTAAAGTCATTTTCCTTTCACAGTGCAACAGGAGCAAGGGGCTTTAACAGCTCTTTCATAAAAATAATTTACCACACACCCTATGCCGAACGTAGGGTAAATTAAGGAACTTAATGTCCTGTCATTTAGCTCAATTCAATTTCCACGGTGTTAAAAAGATGACTGTTGCTATCGTTAGATGTAGCCGGATGACTAGACATGCACACGCACAAACTTGTACACACAAATAGCCTATTTGCACACGCTCATTTCCGCTTTGCTCACACACATAGACACACTTATCTTGGATTATCACGTAGACCTTTTCAAGGGCACAGCATCATTTACCCTGATGCACCGCTGTTCAGGCAGGGCTGAAGGATGCAGCTTCTCTGAGTGACGTGCCACATGGCTCACACAAACACTCACATTCAGGACAGGAACAGCCTGATCTCACACAAACAGATTTTTTTTTTTTCCAAACGCACTAGTGCCCCTCTAGCAGGCTTCTCTGCCCATTTGCCAACACTCACTAAGAACGCTGCATATAATTGAATACACATCTCTTCACAACTGCTTCTGGACAAAGCTCTTCTTTAAAATAGCTACTGATTAAAAGACGTGCCCCAAGGAAATAGTTTGCCTACTAAATATTTTGGGATGAGTGTTGAAAAAGTAACCTAATTAATTCACAGACATATTCTTGCTGCAACTCAACAAATGGATAAACTGAGCAAGACCTGGAATAATAGTTAACCGTAAACTACCAACTACTGACAATCTCATGCACTCATGGGAACCTGTTGTGCTTTCCCCATAAACATTATAAAAGATGGACATAGAGTTTGGGTCTGAAAACTGAAACCAATGTGGAAGTGCTTTAAATCTGCAATTTATTTAATGGCCTCCAAGGAGCAACACCTGTGGTTATACAGACTTGTCATCCTATAGAACTCTATAGAAAAACAGCTTTCTGACACAAGCTTTTCTGCTGAGTTTATGGGCTCAGTCACTCAATTTGGGTCAAACTTAATAAAAATTATGGTCCACTTTGTAAATCTCAGAGACACTGTGGAGGACAATCTGGATAGCAACAAGTTTGATGAAATTCTAACCAATACTCTAGAAGAAGTTGCATTTTTTATGAATTGGGAATGGATGTACAGATGCTTAATCACAGCATAAACTAAAAATACTTGTTAGCCAAAGCTCTGTCACGGCACGGTGCGCCGGTGTGTTAGTTAGAGCAGCACCCAAGAGCAGACACAGGCAAGGAGACGTGACATGACTTTAACAAAAGGAGAGCCTTTATTATGGCTGAACAGAGGGCAAAGCAAAAGCTAAGACGAGTGCTGGCAAGACAACTAAACTGACTGTGAAAACCTATGACACTGAACACTATACGAGACTATGAAACTGTGATAAAGCTATGAAACTTCGAAAACTAATTCTATGACTGTGACTATGAGAACTGTGATGACTATGATGAGCCATAACTGGGAAGGTTACACAGACGACGCGACAAAGACTGACTGAAACACAGAGACTAAATACCCACAGGGATGATTAGGGGAAGTGGAAACACATGAGGGAGAACAGCTGACACACATGAACCTAATGACAGGACAGGGGAAGTGAAACTAAATACAATAAGCAAGGAACACCGGACTCTTTCAAAGTAAAACAGGAAACATGGAGACTTAGACATGATGCAAACCTGATAACAAGAACCACACAGACATGAAGCATGACAGGTAGACACACGAACCAGGGAGGCTTAGTACAGGGGAGATGACATAAACAACTAAGAAACAAAGGACTAAACAGCAACCTAGAAATTAACTAGATGAGTTAAACTAGAACACGAATGAATACAAAAGAAACATAAAAACTCAAACACTGGGTCACACGACCCAGTACTGTGACAAGCTCAGGCTTTATGCTGCTTTAAATGCTCAGTTTCCAAGTTTTCCTTTCTTCTGCTCTTGGATCTGTATGATGATACAGAGAAGGATTAACCTTAATATGTCACCTCAGGCAGACAGCTCTGGATTTAAGCAGCAATTCAAGTGGCTCCATTCACCTGCCATTCAAACCTTCTGTTAGTGAGTAACAGCCAATCACAAAGGGATTTCTCACTGAGCCAGATTTTGTCTTTGTTGCCGGCACAGTGGTATCAAAACCTTCAGTCTGCTTTAATCAGTTATTCTATTCGATATATTTCGCTATAAGTCATCCGTTTCAACCACCTCCTCCAACTATAAAGAAATTATAAAAACCTTTCCAAGAAGCAAAGTCTTCCATGGCAAAGATTACTTTAAATTTCATTATCTTATCTTAAAAAATGCTCTGGACCGCATCATTTTAATCCAATACCTAGTGAAATGTATTTTAAGCACAAGTGCATGCTTTTAATACCCAACTCTGGTGTTTGACAGTTCAAAGGCTTAAGCCATTAACTGTCTTCACACAGATACTATGCTACCACTCCACCTGAAATATGCATCCACTACATAACTAGAGAGGGATCCACTTTACCATAAATACTCTCACTTCATGAATTAACTCAAAGAATTGGCATATTTGAAATGGAGATACACTCAGAGTCATCAGCTGTGGGATCAACTTCGGTACACATAGGATTGTCTGGAACTACAACAGACACTTATCCGAGTTCTGGTATGATTGATTTTGTGAGTGTAATCCCACACACATGGCGCTCACATCTAATTTATGTTCTGCTCAAACCGTCTCCAAGGATACTCTGACATTGACTTTGCGCTATACACTCTGAATGAATAAAGCAGAGTTTTCTTCAAAGTTTTTAAACTCGTGGACAGAATAGAAAATGTAGTCTCACCCTAGAAGATTTTGCTGTTCTGTGCATGGCATCTCCAATGTGCTTAACTTTGGCACCTAATATAGGTTTTAAATGTAAAAAAGAAAGAAAAAAGCACCAATTCAACTAAATAATTTCATGATTTATGACCAGTCTTTGAAGAGTGAGTTGAAATCAAACCCCATAACATTCTGTCAAGACATTCCCACACTGCTTCAATAATGTTGAGGTCCAGGCTCTGGATTCCAAACCATGACTTATAGTGTTCCATTGTATTTATGCAGATATCTGTTTCCCACATTGATAGTCTGTTTGGAATCATAATTATGATGAAAAATAAAGCAGCTGCTAATCTGACCATTTCCAGATGGTACTGCATGGTTGATCGAAGTCTTTCCTATATTTATAATTAGATAGATTTTAAAAAGATCTCGAACACCACGGCTGAAATGCAACCTTAAACCATAACAGCATCTCCACTGTGTTTTACCGATAACTGTAGACATTGACAGTTGGACATCCCTCCTGACCTCCTTCATATGTACTGATGACAATTTAAACCAGAAAATGTGAAATATAGATTTAATACTCCATAAAACTCACTTATTGTTTTTTTGGTCCAGTAGTTTTTGTGTAATTTAGTATACGTCAGCCTTTTCTCCCTGTTTAAGAATAGCTTCTTGACAGCCATCCTTCCACGAGACCATTTCTGATGAGGCTTCAGCAAAGAGTAGATGAACTGAACTAATCTCTCAGTTCCTGTTTCAGGTCTTGAGACATGATTTTAAGAAACAGTTTATCTGCTTTAAATACCTTTTAAGGACTGCCATTTTTTCCATCTGTCCTCAACTTGCGCAGTTTACACATTTTATTTAAGAACACAGTGAAGTCCATGCCAAAATATGCCAAGTTTTTGGCTAAAGATTTTTTGCGAATTGCCTTGTTGCAAAAATACTGTTTTATGCTTGTGAAACAATTATCTTTGGCATTTTTTCATGATTTCAATTAAAGAAATGAGAATGGCTGCTACTAACAAAGTGCCTAAAAGTACTATTTAAAATTGGTCTGTTAAGTATAGACAGAACACTATTTCATCACTTGAGTTAGCTGCCTTTCTTGTGCTCCATAGTCAGAAAAACTCTGAACTAGTGCAAACGTCTTCAGAGCCATTGTGGGGGGGTCACGGTATGATTTTTTTTTTTAAAAAAAAAAGAATGCTTGGACACTGCCAGGATAATGGAGAGGTTTTTGACGGGGCTCCCACACAAACGCAAAGCAGAAGATGAAGCATCACCAAATATGTTTCCAAACCAGCTTCCTTCCAAGCCAAAGACTAGAAAATATGGTGAAGCATATCTTCCCTTTGGCTTCACCTGCACAAGTGCTCGGGAGCACGCGCGATGTGAAATGTTGCGTGATGAACTCTGTATTCCTCGTCTACACGTGAACGCAAAAACAGAGTTTTCGAAAATCTCCAAACTGACAGGAGTTTTTAAAAATCTCTGATTTCAGTTATTCATGCCGTTTACGCGTGGACGAAAGGCCCAAACGCATAGAAAAACCTGCTAAAAGCTGGGGGAATCAAAAATACTCGTGTAGGTGTGGACATAGCATAAAAGAGTTAATAGCCTGATCTATTGCTGCCCGTAACTTATTGCAGTTTTCTCATATCTGTTTAATTGTTTACAAAAGGTTTGAGGTTTGAAATTTGTGTAGTTGGAGGATGCGTTTGTGTGTGTGAGTGTGTGTGTGTGTCTGGTGGTGGGGGGGGGATTTTCTTGTAAAACAAAGGGAGGCCTAGCGAAAAAATTTGGGAATCACTGCTCTAGCAAGTGGTTCTAGGCAGGTAGAGCAGGAGTGGCATGGGACATGTGGCACATGAAATGAAAAAAAGAGACATGCCACATGATAGAAAACCTGGAATTGATTACTTATATAGAGTACACATACAGACTTCTAAATTGCTATTATCTCACAGCCTTTATCTGTATTTTCCCCCAAACCTTTGATGGTAGCTAAAATTAAAACAACGCACATCATTTGTTATGGTAAACTATATTCAGTTAAACAAACTACTTCTGGAATTACATTCTTTTGCATATTTTGCCTTGCCTACACGTTCAAATTCACTTTTGTATTTTTTGCATGAAATACATTTTTACATAGACATTTAAAGAAGCTGTAACGTGAAGCATTTCATTTTTTAACATTTGGTTTTACTGCATTTACCTTCCCACAATAAATATAGCTAAATGAATAATGGAACAATAGCAGACCTTGTTTATGCAAAAAGGCCTGTCATAATCCTTGAATTTGCATTTTAACACCCAATTTGATAACAGCCCTTTAATCCCAGTGAAGCTCTGAAAGTCTTTAAATCTCCTCACAGTGAAGAATCACACACATTTCCTAATGATGAAAACAAACTGTTTTGAAGCTATTCCAACCCTTAGCATGAATCAATGAGGTGTCAAGAGGGTTTCTGACAACAGTACGCTTTTAGGTAGACAAACAGAGGATGCCTTGGGTATTATACAGCTGTGGTTTGATCAGTCTATAATAGATTTTATGTTATCATGGACACCTCATCATTCAGCTTCACTGGTGCTTTGGGATAATGGTGAAGACAGAACACTGACCATAATGTCTGTCCTTCTGTTTTCAGACCAAAGGTTAAGCAAAGTTTCATTTGAGAACTACAAACTTCTAACTGGGCTCAAATACTAAGATATTCTCAGAACGTACCCAGACTTTCTGTAAATTTGCTTATTTTTCTTAGTCTCCTCCTTTTCACTATAAAAATTAAGTTAAATGACACAGCTGACAATTGGCTAGTTCTCCTTTTCTGATTTTCTGTGGAGTGAAGAAAATCCAGTCTGTGAGAGATTATTAGCCAGGAGGCTTTTGCAACACAATGCGAGACAGATTTTTTGTGGAAACTTAAATCGTCTTGATGCATTCTCAATCATCCAGGAAAGTAAATCCCCAAAAGTTGATTCTGTTCATCTGGACGTAACGTTTTGTCCCACAAAACGCTACGTCCAGATGAACAGAATCAACTTTTGGAGATGGAAACTTAAATATTTTCAACTTACACACATACATATTTGCCTCTAATTGATTCATGTGCAACAGCCATGTATGCAATCTCAGTATGTATATGCAGTTTGTGGTCCACAGTAGAATATGTTATGCTGAAATCAATATGTGGTACTTGCTAAAAGTCAATATAATCCTTTGCTATCACTGCGGTGCCTTGTTCAGAATTTGCCAGGATTAACAGAGACTCAACTAAAAAATACTGACATTTCCTCCTCTACACCAGTCATTTTCAAACTATTTTTTGTTGCCCAAAGTACACCAAAGGGCAAACCAAACTTTCAAAGTGCTCTTGTAGTCATATCTGTCATCGGTTCTTCTTTTGATTGGAATGCAAGGTGACGACACTTTGACAGCTCATTTGCAGCAGCTGGACCTAGTATGTGTATCATCCCATCCATTAGCATACCTTACCTCAATCTAACAAATGGTGAGTCCATTTGGATTCACTGCTCTAGACTTTTACGTTCACCCTACATTTGTGCTGCACAGCAATTTAAAAACTAATTAAAGTCTGTTTAGTGGTGATTACGGTATTCTCACCATCTTATGTGGTTAGACAGAGTTATCGTGCCAGCACTTTTCCACCTGCAGACGGACCTATCCAGTTTGTTGTTGCACACAGCTACACACCCTACACACAATGTACTTTTTGTGTAATTGTGTGATATGTAAAATAAAAGCACTTATCAAAGGAACTGATATTGGTGCATGTTTTAACAGATATTAATAGAGGTTAATACATTGGGTATTTGTTCCTGCATTGTAATAGAGATTCTGGAAAGCTGAGGCATATGTAATGTGACATACAGTATTCCAAGTTTTTTAAAGGAGTGTGAATCTTTTGAAACATCATTTTTTTGTCTTACTTTCTCCAGTATTAGGACACATCTCTCATAGCTATTTGTGCAGTTAATGTTTATGTATGTGAACAAGCCAGCCTATAGGGAAATCATGTGTGTTTGTGCTGTTTGCATATCAGTGTTGACGTGCTTCATACAGTACCTATGATAACATGTGCCCCGAGTCTGACCAAGTGGCGAGCTACTTCATAACCAATTCCCCTGCCTCCTCCTGTCACTATGGCAACGTTGCCATCTTGTCTGGGCATCACTGGCAGAAGCAGAAGAGGAGACAAAGATATCAAAGAGAAAGTCACTTGATAAGGAAGCTTCTTCAGGACAGGTTGATGTTTCTATAGATGACAACTCAGTAAAAAACACATGGGCTTTTTGTAGAATTTTTTTCTTTTTATTTCCATTGTACTGAATAACAAGTTTTCTTTACTTTCTTTCATTACTAAAGTTACTTTATGGGTTCAGTAGCAACAAAATAATAACAGAAAGGGACCTTAATTAAATGCAAAATAGAAGAAAAGTTCAATAAATTTAAAAAAAAAAAGCATTTTATGAAATGTGTGAAAGCTATCAGATTTTGATTTATTTTAATCAGAAACACGAAACACTGATATAACACTCAAATTAACAGAGTTAAATATCAGAAAACAACTGACAGCAGATATTGTTCACCTTATACTCCCCTAGTAACATATGATATATTATGTAGTTACAGTTCATATTCCAGAGAACACATGAGTTCTTCCTATACCCTTTCCTGTCAATTTTCAAGAAGACTGGAAGAGTCTGCCACATTGGATGTGATACAACCACTAGATGCTGGGGAAAAATATGTATTTCTGGATTGGTCGGCAGTGGTTTCTGGAGGTTGCGGTTTCTTGCTAGGTGAAACTGACTGCAAAGAAGGGTCTGCATATGCTGTATCACTAAAACATCAGGTTTGTATCACAATTCTGGCAGTTTAGTTTGAGTTTTTAAAAATGTTCAGTTTTAAGTAAATTTTAATGGTTTCAGTGTTAGTTTTTATTTATTGTGCAGTGAGCAGTATTTATCCAGAACAATAAGTTTTCAGAACTCATTCAGAAAGCTCAGTCTGAATAAATCATTGCACCAGTGCCTCCCGAGCTTATGTTAACCACATTGAAAAAGAACAAAAATAAATTAGATAAATAAATTCTTTTTTAAAAAACAATGTATTTTTTTAAAATTTTTTATTCTAGTTATTTTTCTAAGTTAGCAATATAATTTCAGTTTGGATTATTTCTGACGTCTCTTTTTTGTTTTTATTTCAGTAAGATAATAATAATAATAATAATAATAATAATAATAATCCTAAAATAAAAACATGGTTATAGTTTTGGTGTAGTTAACCAGGTGTCTGCAACAAAATTAAGTTGCGCTGTCTCTGGGCGACGAGCGGACTAGCCCAGACAGCATTATGAAAAGTGCACATTTAACCTCACAAAGCTTGGTGGCAATCGTAGAAACTTTGGAAAGGACACATTGATGTTCTACGGAATCGTTAATTATTCGGCTGAATTCGGCAAAAACAAGACGACAGATGATCATTTTTTTCGCTAATGTTTTGAGCTTAACACAAACTAGCTAACATACCTAGCATCGTGTTAACATGTGCAAGTGCAACATAGTAAATGACCGCTACATGTACTAATGAACAATGATAACCCGTGCTGACTATAATGCACCCCACGTTCATTGGTTACAACTTGGTTGCCCGTGCTGTCACTTACAACTGAATTACAACTTGTCAAACTAACGTAAGCTAAAGTTAAACCGACCTGGCAGCCTCAAAGGTCCGTTTAGCAGTTGAAGCAAAAGCACCTTTAAACCAAGCAGGTAAAGCTTTATAGCTGGCAGAAGATGACACCAAAAAGCAGACAACATCTCTGCGAGGATGTGTAACGCTGGTATCCGAAAGAGCCGTCAGTGCAGAGGCAGAGAAAACCACCACAACGGAGTTACGTCTGTGGGACGCGTTCCAATATGAAGTTGTCCAACATCGCTTCCTTCCTTAACACATCTTCTAACAACTCATGTTCCATTTTTAGATTATTAAATTAGACGACTAACAATTCCCTGACATATCTATTTTTAAAATCTTGACTTTTCAAAAGATTTTTCCCCGTAGAGCCGCTATTTGAAATCATGATCCCTTAAAGTCATCTGTCACATGGCTGTAAAGCTGAAATAAGTGTATGATGGAGGGGACACGTTCTCCTCGCTGCTCCTTGGCTGCTTGATGTGCCGTATGATCCTTATCTGTAGATCCAGCATATTGCACCCTTCAGCTCACTGACTCCCTGATTAACTGCTGCCAGCCAGGTCACACGCGATAAAAATCAACTGAGGGATGACACATAGTATTCTGATAAATAATTTCCCAAGTTACACTTAAAAGAACAAGTTTCTAGAGCAGGGTTAGTCTGAACTAACAGTGAATTCTGGTCTGCCTGTCAGTTTTTCTTCCCAAGGGATCGCTTGATTCCACACCAGCCTACTTTTATTGGCGGCTGCTGTGATGGTGAAATGTAGGAATTCAGCAGTGAAAATCCTGATTGCACTAACTAAAAAAGAATCAAAATATGGTATTTTATTTATTTTAGATAGGTGACAAACTATGATATAACTGAAGTTGGCTGCACACTAACACGCTGTATGAATTTATGATTTAATAAATTAGTCATCATAATTTCTCATAAATATTTATAGCACCTATCATGATAGTGAGGATTACAGCTTCAGAGAAATTATTTTTCCACTTCTAGAGATAAGCTACTGGCACTTTTGTGTGACACCCCATGACTTCTAATCAGGACCAATACCCCCTGCTTACAGCAGATACTGAACATCTTTGGCCATTTCACTGGGCTCAGAGAATCAAATGTCAAGAAGATATTTTCAGACATTATCGGATGAGTTTCACCGACATTTTGTGTCACCTGCCACTATGGAGTACAGTGATTCTGAGTTTGTGTGATACTTAGAGGTCACAAGCACCAACTTATTTAAGCAGCTATCAAATATAGAGGACAACGACACAAAGCATGATGACATAATGAATTATTAAAGCTTAAATAAATGATTCCTTGAGACTTTTTTTTTGTCTGAGACAAAAGATTAGAGTTTAAAAAATAAATGTATCCTCCTGAGACCCCGTGACCTCAGAGGGGTATTACATTTTGACTTTTCTGCACCTTCATTCTTCTAAATAAGTGTTTCATACATGGTTCAACAATGGCAACTTCATTCTATTATGGTGTAAATTAACCCCACAATTCCCTTATGGGGTTTTTTTCAAACATTCTTATAATATCCCAAATAGTTAGGTGAAAACTGGAGGTTAATTTCTTGCAAAATGTTTTTATTTACTCTTGTTTTTATTTATTCTTAACCTTTAATCATTCTTTATTTGTCTGATTTTTTTTCCTCAAGCCTGGCTCCAGTGTGACCACAACAGTAAAATGCAGCGATATTGAAAACCTCATGTGTTCTTTTTCTTTTTCTGGCTTCTCCTTTTCAAAGTCTCCACATTGGATCATCTGCCTCCATCTCACCCGATCCCTAGCATCCTCATCCCCACCCTGTCGCGGCAGATGGCTGCCCCTCCCTGAGCCTGGTTCTTCCGACGGTTTCTTCCTGTTAAAAAGGAGTTTTTCCTTGCCATTGTCACCAAAGTGCTTGCTCATAGGGGATTGTCTGTTTGTTGGGGGTGGGAAATACTGTATATATTAGAGTCTTTACCTTACAGTATTATGTACCCTGATGCGACCGTTCTTGTGATTTGGCGCTATATAATTAAAATTTATTGAACTGAATTGAACTGAAAATCCTCCTCTGCCCCCACTAACCCTCAGGATGTCCTCCTTCACTATCCACGGATCTTCTTTGTGGTCTTCCTGTTTTCCTCCTGCCTGGCAGCTCCATTTTCAGCAATATCTTCAACAGTATATTTGTCCACTATATTGATGTCTGATATACTCTTTTCTAATCCCCAGTAGAGACTCTGAGCATCTCCACCTCTGCCACATCCACTCCTGTCTTTTTATCAGGACTACTCTCACCAAACCACATGTCCCAGCTGAATATACGGTTAGGAGGTGATGGCAGAGGGGCACGATCATTTTTATAATGTGACAGACAATAATACTCTAAATGTGTCATAGATAATATTTTTACAAGCAGACCTGTAATTTTACTTCCATAGAATTTTAACACAAGATTTCTCCTTGTAATGGACTATGCAATTTCTCTACTTCTGAAGTGGAAAGAACACTGTTTGTGTAAATCTAATAATTTGTTAGAAAAAGTGTAGTATTTGATTGACACCTGACTGACAAATACCACCCAGGATTGAGTAGTTGTCCCAAAAGGTGAAATTAAAGTTTCTTTAAAAACATAAATGACTGCCCATTTTCATCTATAATCTACACATCTGAACAGATTACCTACTACAGTGACGGACAGGCTAACAGTGTGAGCTGAATCATCACTGACACTCAAAGTAGGCCAACCAGTCTGTCCCTCATTTCAATAAAATTACAACCATTTGTGTTAAAGACAGGTCTGCGGAATTCACAATAACTTCCCTTTTTCCCCCTCTTGGCAGGAAAATCATTAGTATTAGTTCGCTTCTTGCCCAGTATGCAGTGGTTAAGGCTACTGCTGCAGTGACATGCAGTTGGCCTCGGTTATTAAAGTCAGCTCAGGAAGGCAGTTAAATGAGCATCAACATAAAGAAACTGTGTCATCACCACTACCCTGATGGAGGCTGAGCTGCAGAGGCTGTGAGTGTAGTCAAAAGTGCATGTGTTGCTGTGAATTCAAGCTGAGAGGATGAGTTGTGCGCACATACGAGTGTTTGTTCACCCGCAGCCTGAGAGGTTGTGGGTCAGTAAGGCGAGCCGGCCTGCTATTGTTTAACGGAAATCGCATCACACGCATGACTGTGGGATGATTATTTGGGATGATGGGAAATCAGGCAGACACATGAATACACAGTCGCACACGCGCACAAAAATTCCCACATACGTTTGAACGCACGCGAGACATGTTGGGAACAATACGTGACAGGAGGGTGTGTGAAGCAAATAACATGTGAACAGCATCAAAATAGCTCCAACTAACAGTCACCTAGTCTTGATGACAACCACTGGCTGCCTGCAAAGCCCAACTTGTCTTATTTTGTAAATCCAGGCTGACAACAGCTCTGCGGGATCTGTCTATGTGTGTGTGTGTGTGTGTGTGTGTGTGTGTGTGTGTGTGTGTGTGTGTGTGTGTGTGTGTGTGTGGTGCATGTGTGTGTGCTAGTTAAAATGCAGTTTTTATTTCATTTTTTTCATAGACTTATTCTGGGTAAGAAGATGATATTGGATATTTTTAGCAGAAAATGGCCCTAACTGTTTTTATATACTGATTCGATGCGCTCTTCCTTAACACTCTACTCCCCTGCTTGTATTTGTTCCTGATCAACTGCTACCCACGAGAGATGGGAGGTGAAGTGTCATATTGTGAAGAAAGGGAATTTTCTGGGTGTGTCATGGGCAATTTGGGCTCCGGAGTGCAACAGCTTGTGTGAATTGATGTTAGCTTTTTCTCTGGCTTTGAGCTGCCTCTTTTGTAGCTTTTCCTCAGAAGTCTTTGCCATGCGAGAGGCAGACAATCCAGGTTAGATTCAAAGCGCAGACTTATCCAGAGCTGCAGGGTGTAAAGCCTGTAATGACACGTGTACATGTATATGCAGAAAAAAGAAAAAAAGACAGACAAATCCAAGGGGAACTGCTTGTCTTGCAAACTAAAGCACAGGTCTATGTATACTTATTCTTGAGTTTGTTTAAATAGCAGAAAATATGCGTCTGTCTTCCACTGACCAGTTCACAGCATATTTCTATTGGTGTGTTCTTGGTGTCATGTTTTGTGAAAGGAGAGAAGGAACCAGTCACATCAAATTTCTGGTAAAACTGGAAAGTGCACTTAATTTAATACTAAACCTGAGTGTGTTTTTAGGGGCAATGTTTTGCATACTGTTTTTCCACAGTTAATAGGTGTGACTGTAGTGTAGCGGTTTCCCTAACAAGTGAAGGATCCTGGGTTTGATTCGAGCAAGACAAAAGACACAAATCCCTTTGGGGGTTATGTAAAAATCTGCCAAATCAAACATGCTACCTGCTGTGGCAGCCCTTTGTGAATAAGAAAGCAGCAGAAAGTAACTTTTAATAGAAGGTTGTGATAAGGATGCATAAGGATTAGAAACTGAGCTGGAGCACTCAGATCTATAGGTTTTCTCTAATTAACACCGATTTGTTTTTTCAATATATGCAAAAAGTGTGTACAGTGTAAAAATATATATTGACTTTTATGCCCAGCTTCAAATGATGTTGCTTAGAAAAATATGAGAGTTGTAAATCTCTTGACAAGGAAGCACATAAGTGTACTTTCTAAAGTGTTAAACTATCCCTGTCTTTGAGTTCAGTACTTTAACATTTAATGTTTAGATTTTAGTGCTTTACCCCACTTGTTTGCGGTTGTTTGTAGAGCCCAGCGTGTCTCAAAGGGCACAGCAGCGTGGGCTTCCAACCCAGCCTCAGCTCCCTATGAAGACACGAAAAAAACTTACTGAAAGAAACACTTTTATTGTAACTAACAAGGAAAAATGAGAAGAAACCCCAGGAGAGGCCATTCAGAAGGAGAACCCCTCCACGGATGGCCAAATGTGTCCTGTGAGCTATGGGTGGGAAAAGGCAGTAGACTATGTGGGCAGAATTGGTAATAGCTGTGTCACTTCAACTGTAGCCACTACAGGTTTTCTATGGGGAGAAAAGCCAAAGGGCAGCTTGTAAACATGAAAGTGAAACCTGAGATTTTTGCACTTGTTTGCAGTGGATCTACAGACATCATATACCAACTACCTGGCTTCACATTAGATGTAGAACATTTTTTTGAATATTGACACTCACTCTGTTTTACATGCATTTCAATGTCTTTACTAATAACTCAAAAGTTGACTGTGTCCTAAAATCTTTTGCGTTTTCATTACTGGATCACCAACATGACCATAGCTGGATGGCTAAATAATCAGGAACACAGGTCAAATCATTGTCTGTTCAATCGCTCATTTTTAGCATGTTTCAAACAACATGCTGAACTTCAACAAGCTTCAGACAGCTGATCAGCATTAGAGTAAATTCCTCTCACATGATAACTTGACCGTATAATAACTTGAACTATAACTCTTTCCAGTTTCCAGGAAAGATAAGCATAACTCTAAAGCCATCCTATCTCACAAGCTTTCAACAACTTCCCAAATTAAACTTGGGCCAAGCAATCCCTCCATTTATGGTACCTGCCTAAAAGGTGGAACCGAGGGCAGTCTTTCAAAATATGTAAGAGTCTATACTGCGTGTTTTGGCTGTGGAGGCTTAAGTGTAAAGATGTTAATAATGCATGCAAGATGTGCACAATGAGTTCATCAGAATGCAAGAGACAAAAATCTGTGTATATGTGTGTGTGCGCACATTCATGTTTATCAAATACATCCCACCACCATTATTGCTAACTGTCTTAAGGGAGTGAATGTCTTTCTATTAGTAGATGTAGAATGAGGAACAGTGGGAGGGATATTTGCCTGCACCAATTAAGACTGTCATTAACTCTGTACACCGAACACTCACACACACACACACACACACACACACACACACACACACACACACACACACACACACACACACACACACACACACACACACAGCGAGACAGACACACACACACAGTATTTAACACATTCAATTTAACAGTCTGTGAGTCAGTGTGTGCCTCTCTTTCTGTCTGTCTGAGACCTGTTGTCACTGAGACGGGATACGAGGAGACTCTTTCATCTCTCGCTCTCTCTCTGCTTTTTTCTCTTCCTGTCTCACACTCCAGGATTATGTGAACACAGAAAACCTTCAAGGATGTTTATGTGTACTGCTTTCTTGGCTTCAAGGGCGTCAGCTACCCCTCTGTTAAACCCCAAAACCCCACTTCAGCTCGGTCAAGCAGTCCGGTCTAGCATTATGAAATGGGATCTGAATAACTGTCTGGTATGTTTTAGGTCATTTAGAAGATATCACAGTGCTTATTTGCTTTCCCGTATGTCTAACCCTTTTTAAAAGCCATTTTAAATATTGAAAATGTACAGATATGTAAAAGGAAATGTGCCTGAATAATCCAGGAATGGTCCTGGCTCGTTGGTTTTTTAAGTCTTAAGCTCTGTTTATCATTACTTACATTCAGTCTGATTCTTACTTTTTGCATTTTCAGCTTTGTACTTGTTTATTGCAGTTACAGTTGTGTTTGTGGTATTCCTCCTATCAGTTCACGTTACATTCCTTGTTCCCCATATATAGTGAGATACTCTCTGTTTCGTTACTTCCTGTGTTATTTTGATAGTCATGTATCTTTTTGCCAAATTTACCTCCCAGAGTGTTGTTATCAGATGTAGTTCAGCTGTGTGTAGTTCCCAAGTTGTTTCCATTCTGCCACCCTCAAATTGTTTTGGTTCTTTGGCATGTCCTACTGTTACCTGACTTTGTTATTTTGTAGCCTTTC